CTCTTTGTCATTAGTAAGTATCTTGGGGGGTGATACTAAAGGCTATGCAAAAATACAGATTTCTCAGCATTTCCAGTTCTTTTTAAAAGTGCCATCAAATGTACACCTTCTGCTTTTATTCCACAAACATCAAATGTTCACCTACTATGTGCCGAATACTGGCCTAACATGCACAGCTTGGCAATGTGCAGCCCTATGATCTTGCTGGATCTTAGGATCCTTACCTGCAAAATGAATATAATTATATCTGATGCCCTAGGCCGTCTGGCTCAGTGGATAGAGCATGGACCTGTGGACTAAAGCGTCCTGGGTTCGATTCCTGCCAAGGCCACATACCTTGGTTGCAGGCTCAATTCCGGCCCTGGTCAGGGTGCGTATGGGAGGCAACCAATCGATGTGTCTCTCTTCTATCAGTATTTCTCTCTCTGTCTTCCACCTCCCTTTCACTCTCTCTAAAACTCAATGGAAAAATATCCTTGGGTGAGGATTAGCTAACTAAATATACACACATTAATCTTAAAAATAATAATTACGATTCTATCTGACCACTCAGGGCTGCCGAGGAGAAAGGAGGACCGAGCTGGTGAGCATGTTCTGCTAACTGGGTTGTTCATTCTCCTTCCAAAGTGCCCAGCGCTGTCCTGACCTCCACCTATTGGCAGCCTCCGTTTCTGTCCTGCCTGAACCCACGCCCGCAGGCTTCTGTCTGTCCTCACTGGCCAGACTCCCTTTTCCTATTTGCCAAGCCTTGCTTGTGACGTCATTGAATACGTTTTGGAGACACTGGGCAAGCCTTGTGGAGACTGACCCTTTCCTCCGCAGACTCTGCCTGCAATTTGGGGAGCTGCCTTGAGGCGCCAAGGGACGCCGGGCACCTGCGGGTGGCAGGCAGGAGATCCCTCCTCCCGTAGCAGAAACAAGGGGAAGAAGTAGGCATTGCCTTCCTCCAACAACATTTTGGCCCTAAAAAGGAAACTCTTGCCCTAACCGGTGTGGCTCAGTGGCTAGAGCATCGGCCTGCGGACTCAAGGGTCCCGGGTTTGATTCTGGTCAAGGGCATGTATCTCTGTTGCAGGCTCCTCCCGGGCCTGGGCTCTGGTCGGGGCTCGTGCAGGAGACAGCCATCAATGTGTTTCTCTCACATTAATGTTTCTCTCTGTCTCTCCCTCTCCCTTCCATTCTCCCTAAAAATCACTGGAAAAAATATCCTCGGGTGAGGATTAACAACAACAAAAAGTGAAAAGATGAGCTCACCCCTGACCCAGCCTCCTAACTCAACAGCACTTTTCGTTTGAGAACCGGATGTTAGTGGACCCAGAGGAAGGTACAAGTTAATCTCCTTCAATAACTCAGAAGAGGCTTTCAAACCTTACCCGGGGGGTTCCTCACCGCCCTCTCTCAATATTTTCCCACAAACAGACCTGAGGCTCCTTTGGACGGTCAGTCCCTCACTCTCCTCCCGGCCCTTCAGCTGTCTTGTGCACCAATTAGCTGGTGACTAATTGCTCCTTAATTGTGAACCCGCTGGCCCATTCCCAGCTCCCACCCACACAGGCTGGCATGTGCATCCTCCAGGGAAAGGTCTGGTGTGAGTCCCGTGGTTCCCAGGCCCCACTGCTGTGGGTTGAACCTCTTCTTAGGATCCAGGTCTTGTTCTAGGCCCTGAGGACTCGGTCGGTGGTGAGCGAGACAGACTCGGTCCTTGCCTTCTCAGAGCTCACATCTAGCAGGAGCCAAACAGCAGCAACGAAATAATTTCAGATAATAACGGGTATGAAAATAAATTAAAAAAGGTAACACAGTACTGAGTACTGCTTGGTGCTTCCGATAGGCACGCCGGGAAGGCCTCTCTATGGCGGTGATGTTGGAGTTGAGACGTGAATGGTAATCAGGACCCAGCAGGGGTGAAGGTGAGGAGGCAGAGTGGTCCAAGCAGAGAGCAAGGCAAGAGCAAAGGCCGGGGAGGTGGGGGGGTGGGGGGGGACCAGCATGGCCTGAGAAGCACTCACTGCATCCATTCAGCCGCCAGGGAATGTGCAGGAGGCAGCCAATCAATGATTCCCTCTTATCATTGATGTTTCTATCTCTCTCTTCCTCTCCCTTCTTCTCTGAAATCAATAAAAATAAATTAAAAACAAATAAAGTTGGAGCAAAACATCTCTCCCTCTCTGTGTTGGCAGAGACTGGGGGTGGGGTGTACTCCTCCTGGACCTGCCCTCAGAAGGAGGAATTATTCATCTGATTAAGTCAGATTCCAGGGTCCTCATTGGTCCTTGGTGGTAATGAGGGTGATGTTTCTTCAAGGTCTCAAACTGCACAGTCCCGTTGCGGGGGGACTTAGGGAGGAACCCCCAGAGGGCCCCCTTCAGAGGAAGCGGCTGCCCTGGAGGAATCCAGACCCAGGTTTGGGACCCCAGGGAAACACAAATTTGGATTGTCACATGAAATTTCTTGATTTTTTTTTTTTTTTAAACCGGGAAGGGGTGGGGGGACTGGGAACGGGAGAGGGTGGGGCAGAGGGTGTGAAGGGTTCCTGGCGAAATTTCCTGATTTTTAAATGTTAACAACAAATTCAAAAAGATTTTTTTAAACAACAAAAAAATATATTTTATTGATTTCAGAGAGGAAGGGGGAGAGAGAGAGAGAGATCAATCAATGATGAGGGAGAATCATTGATCGGCCCATCTCTTCTAGATAAGCCTGGAATCCTAGCCTCCCAGGGAAGGGGCCCAAAAATCTGGGTCTTGCTCTAACCTTTGGGAGAAAAGGTTAGAAATCTTCCCAGAAACCTGAGGCGAGGGAACATCCTGTGCTTCAAGCCCAGAGAAGCTGTGACTGCGGTGACCTGGGGCCGGCCCTCCCACATCAGATGGCCCTGAGGTCTACGGCGCTGTGTGACCCAGGCATAGCTCACATTCCCTCTGCGCTGCAGTATCAGGATGCAAAGTGTGCAGAGATAAGAGCTCAGCCTCTGGGACCAAAGCTCTGGGCCCAAATCCTGACTCCCTTGCTGATGGCCCAGGGCAAGTTCCTTCCCCACTCCGGGCCTCCCATTTCTCATCTATAAAATGGGTGCAAGAAAAAAAGCCATCCCACCCCCCTCCCCCGGGGCTGTTGCGACAACTGAATGGGTGGATGCTTGATGTGAATGCATGCTGTAAATGACCCCAACGTGGGCTTAATAGCTGGACAGTGGCATTAGCATCATCTCAACCAAAACCCCATGTTTTATGTGCGTTAATCCTCACCCGAGGATATTTTTCCATTGATCTTTAGGGAGAGTGGGAGAGGGAAAGACAGAAACATCCACGTGAGAGAAACACGTCGATTGATTGCCTCCTGCACGAGCCTCCACCAGGGCCCCGGCCCCGGAGGAGCCTGCAACCGAAGTACGTGACCTTGACTGGAATCGAACCCTGGACCCTTTGGTCCACAGGCCGACACTCTGTCCACTGAGCCAAACCGGCTAAGGCCAAAACCCCATTATACGGAGGAGAAGACAGAGGCTCGAGCCAGTGATCCGACTTGCCAAGGCCACACAGCTTAGGAGCAGTGATGTCCCCGGCACACTCAGGTTTGTCTGATTCCAGAAGCCCAAGTCGTAACCTCTCTCAAGTTAGAGGGTTCTGGGTTCGAGTCTCAACTCTGCCCCTTGCAGTCACAGGAGCTTGAGCTATTCCCTTTTTTCTCTGGGTCTCGTTTTTTTTGCCTCATCTAAATACATGACAATCTGCCCATGATGACTTTTGTATTTTCCTCAAATGGGAAAATACACAGGAAGTGCCTCGCACAGTGCCCAGGATGGACATGTCTGTGGCCAGCAGTTGAGGCTGTCCTAATCATCAGAGGCAAGTTGCTTAACTCTCTGAGCCTCAGTTTCTCTATCCATCAAGTAGGACTAATAGCAGCCTCATCTCACTGGGGTGGTCGTAAAGAATAAATGAGTTACTGTGGGCTAGGCCTTAGCACAATGCTGCCCTTACTATTATTATTTTTTTTTTTTTCACAGAGAGGAAGGGAGAGGGAGAGACAGATAGAAACATCAGTGAAGAGAGAGAATCATTGATTGGCCGCCCTCTGCAGGCCCCCCACTGGGGATTGAGCCTGCAACTGGACTCAAACCCAGGACCTTTCAGTCTGCAGGCCAATGCTCTATCCACTGAGCCAAATGGGCTAGGGCACTCGGTATTCTTTTTAAAGTTCTGAAACCTGTTGTAGGCCAGCATGAGGCTACGGGGGACCCCAGTCCCCGCACTGGCCGCGGCTCCAGGCATTGCCCTTGCTGCCTGCCAGTCAGCTATTATTAGGCCCCGAGTCCTCATCTTAAATCCAGATGGGGAGCCAGAGGGGCGGACAGGGCCGGGCCGGGCTGGTGGAGGGCTGGGAACAGGCTAGAAGGCTGGTTTGGGTTTGGGCCCCACCCTGCCTGCAGCCGGTCCAAGCTGCCACGTCTGCACTTGGCTCCGAGGTCTGCACCAAGCCCGCCTCCCACCATGGCCGCCTCCTCGGGGAAGGTTCGCAGTGTTTCCACAGCCTCAGCACTTTTCTTCCCGCCCCAGGGAGGCCAGCCCTGTGTGGAAACTCTGAACTGGACACGGCTCGCCTCTGCAGCCTGCAAAGGGGCCGTGCACTCTCTCGTCTCCTGGGGAAAGGGCCCACACAAATGGGTTCAAGCCCCAGCCCTACGGGCAACACGCTGTGTCAGCTTGAACAAGTGGCATTTCCTCTCTGAGCCTTTTCTTTCTTTTTTAAATTGATTTCAGAGAGGAAGGGAGAGGGAGAGAGAGAGAGATAGAAACGTCAATGATGAGAGAGAATCATGGATCGGCTGCCTCCTGCACGCCCCACACTGGGGATGGAGCCTGCAACCTGGGCATGTGCCCCGACTGGGAATCGAACCGTGACCTCCTAGTTCATAGGTCGATGCTCAACCACTGAGCCACAGCGGCCGGGCTGAGCCTTTTCTTTATCTGTAAAATGGATATAATCATAGCACCTACCTCACAGGGCTGTGGTGGTGATTCAGTGAGTGAATGGCACATAGTAGGCACTCAGTATGCACCGGTTATTGTCACTTCATGCTTGGGTGTGCCGGGTCCTGAGGGGGAAACAAGGGATTTAGGAAACTGGGGACCTGGAGTGCAGAGTGGCTCCACTCCTACTTCTGTGCGACCTGAAGCCTGTGCCCAAGAAGGCAGGGACTCAGAGTACCTATTCCGACCACAAAGTGGGCATCTAGGACTCTATGGTGCCAAGATCCCGCTCCTGTGCTCACAAGTTCGATTCCCAGTCAGGGCACATGCTTGGGTTGCAGGCTCCATCCCCAGTGTGGGGCCTGCAGGAGGCAGACAATAGTGATTCTCTCATCATGGATGTTTCTCTCTTCCTCTCCCTTCCTCTCTGAAATCAATAAAAACACATATTTTTAAAAAGAAATATGACGAGGCCCCATGTGGGAAGAGATTCCAAATGGTAGAGGGCAGGGTGCCAAGGGTTCTGGGTTCGAATTCTGTGTGAGGTGCTGGTGTGGCTTGGTCTCACTGAGCCTGTCTTCTCATTTATATGACGATAGTCCTACCTCACAGGGCTCAAGCTGTGAGGGTCATGATCATAATAAATAGCCACTCATATATGAGAAGGGTGATCTGGAGCCAAGTTCCAACCCAATGGACAGCAATTACGCGGGGCCCCTGCCATGAGTCTCGATGACATCAGGCATCAGGGAACCCCCAGAAGTCACAAAAAATCCAGACCGGCCTATAAAAACCCTGTCCTATGTCCAAGAGGGTGGCCTCTTGGGGTTCATCACAGCTCAGTGGGCGTCTCAAGCCCCCTAAGGTCTTCTTCCCGGGGCCCACTTGCCTCTGAGTTTCCTACATTGAAGAGCCACTCTGGCCTCGGCTGAGTAGCTCAGTTGGTTAGAGCATTGTCCCAATACGCCAAGGTTGCGGGTTCGATTCCTGGTCAGGGCACCTACAAGAATCAACCAATGAATGCATAAGCAAGTGGAACAACAAATGGAGGTTTCTCTTTCTCTCTCTCTCTCTTAAAAAAAAAAAAAAATCAACAGTCATTCCTTTCCCATCCCTGGGCACATGGGGCCAGCCCCCTTCTCCTCCTCCAGGCCGGAAGTTTATCTGGCCCTGTCACTCAGAGGACACAGCAGCTGGATGACATCATGGAGGAGACCGCCTTGCCAAACTGGTTTTCCAAACAGGTCTCCAGCCCTATTCCTGGGGCTGCTGGCCATGACATCAGGGGCCTCTAATTCTGCCTATTTGACGAGGGAGGATCCAGCCAAGCCCAACAAGAACCAATTCTTCTCCTCCGGAGACCCCATGCTCCTGCCTCACCTACCGGAGTTTTCCCCAACAAAGTCCTCACAGTCCGACCTCCCTTCCTTTGCCCATGCTGTTTCCTTCTCCATGCTGCCTTTCCCCATCCCCTCAGATGCCAAACAGCAAGTGAGGGCTTTGTTCTTGCCGCCATTTAGACTCCACACACCACGTCTCTCTCCCTTCTGCCACTAGGCTCTGAGACCCCAACAGCAGGACCAACCTGGATCCACTTCTAGCCCCTCCAACTCTCCCAGTGCCCAGCAGCCCCCGGACTCCCTCATAGGCCCAAGGTCTTGGCCTTGGCTGACCTTACAGCCACTTGTGAGCACATCCCAAGTGGGGTCTCCCAGACAGTCCTGGAATTTTTTAAAAAAAAATATTTTTATTGATTTCAGAGAGGAAGGGAGATAGGGAGAGAGATAGAAACATCAATGATGAAAGAGAATCATGGATCGGCTGCCTCCTGCATGCCCCCTACTGGGGATCGAGCCTGCAACCCAGGCATGTGCCCTGATCGGGAATTGAACCCTGACCTCCTGGTTCATAGGTTGATGCTCAACCACTGAGCCACGCCAGCCGGGCCAGTCTTGGAATTTTAAGGTGTCTAGTCTGGCAGGAACGGACTTAGAGAATTGAGGCCACAATCGCCCCATTGTGAAGATGAGGCAACTGGGGTTTCCATGGGACCAGTACTTAGCCTAGGGTGGAGCCAGGGCTAAGATTCGCCACCCCTCCTGAGTCCTGCCCCCAGGCCTGGGCTTTCCCTGCAGAATCCTGGCTGGGGAAAATGGGACGTGGAGGGTGTGGGGGGGAGGGGAGAGCTCACAGGGTGATTCAGGGATCTGGCACTGCCAGCCTGGTACAATATTTATTCTCAAACTCAGGCACTGAAGCAAAATATTACCCTTGGCCCCCTGAGCTGCTCCAGCTACTCCCCCACTCTGCCAAGTCCTAGGTTGGATCTGGAGGAATCCGGGCCCTTCCTGTTACACCCCCTAGCCCTGGGAGGGCCTGACGTGGGCCAGTCCAATTCCCCCATTTTACAGATGGACAGACTGAGGCCCAGGCCTCCCCAACGCCCATAAGGTATGTTCACCCTGCTCAGCTGGTATTCAGGGCACGTCACAGATAGAACCACCCCATCTCCATTTTCTGCTCCATCTATGGCCCATCTCTCCTCCCTTCCCCATTTACATACAAACCTCCCGGCTTCTACTCACGCTGTTTCTGGGTCACAAATGCCCTTCCATGCCTTTCCCCCTCTATTCTGTGGGGTGGGTTTCTTTCCATCCTTCCTCAAGGATCAGTTTGCACATCACCTCCTCCGAGGAGTCTTCCAGGATTCCCCCTATCCTAGAGGCAGCAAGGTGGAGGAAAGGGACTTGGACATGGGCAGAATGCCACTCAAGTTTGAATGCCATTACCAGGCCAAGGTGCCCTCGCCTCCCAGAGCTTCTTCCGCTTCCTCCTCTGCAGAATCCGGGTCAACCTGCAAGAGGGCAACCCCTGTGTCTGACACGCAGCAAGTGCTCAGTAACCGCCAGGACCCTCCACTCAGGATGTTTACGCGTCCCGGGGTGTGGCTGACGCTTCCCCAGCCGCGCACGGAACTGCCCTCTGATCTTTATTTCACCGTCAACACCATCCCGCCCCACCCCTTGCAGGGAGGAAGGGCAGAGGCAGGCAGGCAGGAGGACCCCAGCCCTGAGGGCTTAAGGTACCAAGAATTCCTGAACTTGTGTCAGACCCAACAAGTCCGGACTCAGACTCACCTGAGCGGTTCTTCCCAGCTTCGCGGGGGGGCGGAGCTAGCAAGAAGCAGGCCATTCATTGGAGCCTGGAGCTGCCCCTCAGGCAGGGCGGAGAAGCCCAGGTAGCCTAGAGGTGTGCCCCGCCCCAAGGGGCTGTGCCAAAGGGCGTGCGCGGTTTGAAGCAGGACCGAGTTGGCCTTGGAGGGCGCTGACTCATGCTACCAGGATAAGATGGCATCTGGGTCACGTCGAGAGGGTCTAGACGGGGCCTGCCCAGGGGAAGGGGGCCTGGCTGTTTGCTCCTCCTCCCGTGGGACCTGAACCAGTCCACTCCCCTCTCAGCACCTTGCTTTTTCCATGGGTAAAAAGGAGCCACCTGGCGAGGATGTGGGGATGAAAGAGTATCAGAGCCCCAGCTAGTTTGGCTCAGTGAAGAGAGCGTCGGCCTGCGGACTGAAGGGTCCCAGGTTCCATTCCCAGTCAGGACACATACCTGGATTGTGGGTTTGATCCCCAGTGTGGGCCGTGCAGGAGGTAGCCAATCAATGACGCTCTCTCATCATTGATGTTTCTCTCTCTCTCTCTCTCTCTCTCTCTCTCTCTCTCTCTCCCTTTCTCTCTGAAATCAAGCTGCTTTGTCTCAGTGGATAGAGCGTCGGGCCTGCGAACTGAAGGGTCCCAGGTTCAATTACCGGTCAAGGGCACATGCCCGGGTTGTGGGCTCGATCCCCAGTGGGGGACTTGCAGGAGGCAGCCGATCCATGATTCTCTCCCGGGTTGTGGGCTCGATCCCCACTCTCTCTCCCTCTTCCTTCCTCCGATCCATGATTCTCTCTCATCATGGATGTTTCTATCTCTCTCTCCCTCTTCCTTCCTCTCTGAAATCAATAAAAATATTATATATATATATATATATATATATATATATATATATATTTTAAAGAGTATACTGGACCTCTCTAAATACGGGTAGAGGTGGTAGAGGTGGGGTGGGTGTGTGGGTAGTCACAGAGGATCCTCTAGAGGTGGTAGAGGTGGGGTGGCACTCAAGTCTAAGAACCACACCACACATAACCAGTCCCCAAAATGGCACAGAGATGGCATCAAGAAACCCCGATCACAAAGATTCGAACCTCTTAAGCGGGCAGACCCTAAGTTCCTGAGGAACATGCGCTATGCCAACAAGCACAACAAGAAGAGCCTGAAGAAGATGTAGGCCAACCACGCCAAGGCCACGAGCGCATGAGCAGAGACTAACAAGGCCCTCGTCAAGCCCTAGGAGGTCAGGCCCAAGATCCCAAAGGGCGGCAGCCGTGAGCTCAGTGGACTTGCCCACATGGCTCACGCCAAGCTTGGAAAACGTGCTGGTGCCTGCATCGCCAAGGGTCTCTGGCTCTGCAGGCCAAAGCCAAGGCCGAAACCAAGCCCCAGGCTGCGGGTGTGGCTGCAGCACAGGCTCAGGCTCAGGCTCAGCTGTGAGGACAGAAGGACTGATGTGATCCCTGGGCTCCTGTCTGCATGGAGCTGGTGTCCTCCTGTGCTATGTGTACAAATAAACCTGAGGCAGGATCTGCCTAAATAAATAAACAATAAAAATAAAATAAATGAGGTGATACTATTATTGTTTTTATTTGACAGACAGGACACCAGACCCCACCTCCTAGGCTCCAACTCCTTTTGGTCTCCATGGAGACCGATGGGAGGCTCCCGGGCCCCAGCAAGGGCGATGGAGCGGCTTTCTTTCCCCAGTGGGTCTGAGCTCTGGGGGTCCCCTGGCTGACTCCTTGTGTAGTCTTGGGCATGTTGGCTTTCTCTGGGCCTCAATGTCCTCCATTTGTTGAATGAGAGTCTGAACTCCATATTCCCAATTTTGGGGATCCCAACGCTGAGAGAGGCAGATCCTGGGGGGCTTGGAAGGGAGACGCATGGCCAATGAGGGCAATGTCTGCGCCAAGATGTGGCGGCCGAGAGAGGGTTGCCGTGTCACTGATCCTGCTCCATCTGCGGGGGTCCCTGAGATGCGCCAACATGGGGTCAAGATGCCGCCGATTACGCAGTCGCTCCTCGGAGGTGGCCCCGACCAGGTGTCCCCCAAAAGCAGCCTGGGGGCGGCGACCCAACCCAGCCACTGACGCGAGGAGGGGGCGGAGTCCAGGGAGGGGACGTGGTCTCAGGAACAAAGAGGAGGGCTGTCCCGAAGGCGCCGCGACGCGGGCGATCCCGCGCCTCTTACCCCGGCACTGGGCGCCCTCCTGGACTTTGGCGCAACACTGCGTCCTCCTGCCGATGCCCACGCGACCAGCCGGGCCCCGGCGGCCGTGGTCCCACGACTACAACCCCCTACGCTACCGGCCCGCGAGGGGCGTGGCCGGCAAATTGAATTTCCCCAATGGGGCACGAGGGTGGGCGGGACCCTCCCCAGGGTTGGCTGGCGCGGCGGGGCGGGGCGGGGCTGGCCGGGCTGCTGGCGCGGCTGGACAGACAGCCCTGCCAGAGTCCGGAGGACTGTTGCGGCGCGGGCCTGGGATCCCAGGCGTCACGCCTTCTGCCTGACCCATTCCTAGTCCATCTGTCGGATCCCGAGCCACCTACCCTGACCTGAGCCCGCGCGCGGCTGGCGAGCCGGACTGAGAGGTGGGTGTGCGGACCTCCGGGTCCCGGAGTGGAACCGGGATCTCTGGGCGTGGGTTCTGGGACTCTCAGACCTGGGAGCCCCCACCCGTCGGCGGGGCTTCTAAACCCTGGGATAAGGTTCGGAGGCCAGGAGGCTCCACCACCTCCACTGGGCGGGTGGGGGGGGGGGAGTAGGGGGTGCAGACACTCCGGGGAAGTTCCCCCATTCCTCCGAGGTCCCCACAATCGCCAGGAACCCAAAAGTGTGCGACAGAGAGTGTGGGCCAGCAGCGGGAATACCTGAGGAAAAGGACTTCCTACAGCCCCCTGGAAGCCCCAGATTACGGATTAGGGACCCCTGCCCTCAGAAGTCATGGGGTGGGGGGAGACTCAGAGTGTCCACAGAACCTAAATCTGGTGATGGGTGACACTCTTGGGGGTGCGGGGTTTACCCCAACGTAGGTAGATAAAAAGCAAGGACTCCAACAGAGGGAGGGTGGCAGGCTGACATCTGTGCGAGCCGACAGGGAAGGGAAAAGCCAGCAGCAACTTGAACTGGCAGGGTCCAGCGAAACCAACAGTGTTGACTGGGACCCTGCCCACCACCCCCAGACCCATTCACCGGATTGGGTGACTCAACAAGTGACTGTTCTGGGGACCGGGAAGGGTTGAGTGAGGGATGAATCAACAAAATGGGGGAATCCTGGGGCCATTTCGGTCCCCATACATGAACTAAGCACCAGGCTGTGGACCCTCCGATGCCAGGAAAACATTGGGGCTGCAGGAGGGACGAACGAGCTGCACTGGGGGGCTGGGCCAGGATGTAGGGGGCCCCTTCGATGGGTAATGATGGGGCAGAAGGGGGCTGTCCTGAGTCCCCGGGGGGCACTTTGGAAGGGGTCTTCAGAAGCCAGAGGTGGCTCAGATTTTCCCCCTTCCTTTGGGTCTTTGGGATCCTCCCCCCCCCCCGGGGTAAATCCAGGGTCCCTCTAATCCTCAGTTTGTCTAAGTCCAGAGGTTGGCCGGGTCAGTTTCTTAAGACCCTTCAGGCCCGGGAATTGGATTATAAGTGTGTGAATTTAGCAAAAGGAGCTGGGTGCCTGGACCCCTTGCTTCAGGGCAGTTGGCATCAGGGGGAGGGCAGAAAGGGGAGGCGGGGAGAGGGGTGTTTACAGAGGGCTGTCCTCGGGAATTGAAAGACAGGGTGTTACCTTCAAGACCTAAGTCACCAAAGGGAATGAGAGTGGCAGCAGCAGCGAGGACTTGGATATGGGCTCAGCCCACAGCCAGAGGCTGAGCTTTTGGGGGGTAGTGGAGCTGGGCAGGCCCTGGGGGTGGGTGGGTGGGGCAGGAAACTGTGGAGTCTGGCGAGCACCCCCTGGTGGTGATCACAGCTTGGGTGGGCCTTGCTGGGGCCCAGCTTCTCAATCCCGTACACTACTCTAGGGCAGAGGGCAACTCCCAACCAGAAGCCACATCACAGGTAGCAAGGATAGGACAGCAATGAATGATCATGGGTAAGAGGGGAAACTGAGGCACTGGAAGAGGCCCCCGCAGGCCTGACTTATGTCTGTCCCCTGCAGAATTCCCTGAGCTGGTGTTAGGTGCCACGGGCACTGAGGATCTCACCAGGAGGGGACGCACGGAGCTAGGGGCCAGCAAGATGGCGGACGAGGCCTTAGCTGGGCTGGATGAGGGCGCCCTGCGGAAACTGGTAAGTGACCCCATCGTCCCCAATGTGAGGCCAGAGAGGCAGGGCCTACTAGGCTACCTCTCATCGGACAAGAGGAGGTGATGGGGAGCGGGGAGGAGGAGGAGGGCTCACGGGAACAGGGCTAGTCCTGTTCCACATGGTTGATGCAGAGGCCTCCGTGGCATATGCCTGTCCGTGCCAGGTGCTGAGGCCTGATCCCGCCCAGCCCCCCACGGCTACCACCTGTTTAAACAGTAACTTGCTCAGGACTCACCCATATGCAGCCACAAGTGTGGGGAGGCTAGATGGGGCTCTTCCCAGCAACAGCCGGGGCACTGCCCACCCCTGGACGCTGGCCCCATGATAATAGCAGCAGATGCGATTAATAATGCCAGGGCACAGCAGGGGGGCAGGCTGGGTGCTGGGCACACCATCTCCCAGAATGGACACAGCAACTCTGAGAGCAAAGCGGACTCTGCCTCAGAGAAGTGAAAATCACCCGCCCGAAGGCACCCAGCTGGGAAGAGGGTGGGCCAGGATCCAAACAAACCTCCATGGGGATCCTGGAGAACCCCGAGTCCTGAGCAAGTCAAGGCCGGAAGAGCCTTATGAGCTGCGACTTCTAGTGTCATTTTCCCACTCTGAACCTCAGTTTCTTTACC